ACTTTGAGATAGGTGTAATTTGGTTTGGTTTGAAAAAGAATTTTAAAAGGTGTGTAGGAGTTTTATTTATAGGATAAACTGCCGTGAGAACACAATCACTCCAATATTTTAATTATGGGATGAAACTTTGAAATATTAAAGCTCTTGCCACATTTAATATGTTGATATTTTTTTTCAACTACGACATTTTGTTGAGGAGTCCTCATACAAGTTTTATGGTGGATGATTCCCTTTTGTGAGAAATTGTTTCATCTTAAATTCTTATCCATTGTTTGATCTCAGGAACGGATTCAATACCGGATTACAAATCGGATCAATACGTACAATAAAATAAAATTACTCATGAATTTTTTTTTTTACCTAGAAATATTCAGTGGCTAAAGGAAAAATAAGGCAAGGCTGTTTGGTGGATCTCGTAGTATTTTCGAGTAAACTAAATTTGGAATATGTAGAGTGTCCTAAGCTATGGTGCCAAAGGTTGAAATCTTCACCATTATTGAAGACAGAAGTAACAGATATGGGTGCCTTTTGAGTCAGATAGGCTAATTTCTTGGTTAAGGCAAGAAGAGACACTCCATTTTGCATCAGATGATATAGTCCTTGCTTTACTTCACCTATTCCAATCGTTTTTCAAGTCAAAGGTCTTGTATAAAGCAACAACCAGAGAGAAAAATGAGGCAACAATTCATGGTTGGTGTTATTTTCCTAGCTAATATGAGATTAAAAAAATGGAACACAAATAACATTATCTAAAATGAAGGATTCTGAAAATTTCACCATCCCAATGTGAGTGAGAGGAACAACCCGACCATTTGGGAGAGTTACTGAATATGAAACTTTAACTTTGACCGTGGTAAAAAAAAGAGGCTGAGCAGATCATATGATCCGTGGCCCCTGTGTCTAATATTCAAGGTACAACTGAATGATTAGGAAGTTTAGTGCTAAGGGCAAAGAGACATAGAGATACACCTGAAACTTTTGGCATCTCACCATCACTAGAATGAGTTGGAATGACAGTTTGAACATGATTTGTAGAAAGAATGAAGGTTTGATGGGCTTATTGTTTTAGCAGCACCATGAGTTGAGCATATTGCTCATGAGTTAAAGGCATTTGAGCTTTGTTATTTACCTGCTCATGGAAAGGATGCATAAGTGCAGTAGTCTGGTTTGCAAATGATGTCGATGGCTTGTTTCTCCCTTTTGATTTGTGGCCTGATGGATGCCCATGTAGCTTGAAACATTTTCCAACTGCATGACCAGGCATTTGCAATACGAACATGCTGGTTTGTTCATATTAACCTTGAAGCATCGTTCAATAGAATGCCCAACTATCTTACAATAGGTGCAATAGTACCTATCCTCATTCTGGGAGGATTGGTTTTGTTTTCTCACATCAAAGTTACCCTTAACAAGGAGTGCCATAGTTTCATCTAATGAACTATCAGTGGAGATATGCCTTCTTTTCTCTTCTTGCTAAATGATGGAGTATACTTCATTCAAGCTTGGGAAAGGCATAATGAGGAGAATTTGAGCTTTTAATCTCTTGTATGTGTCATTGAGACCCATTAGAAATTTCATAACCCAATCTCCTTGTTAGTTGTTCACCACAATTTTCAAACCTACATAAGAACAGTTAGGTGCTAATTTATAATTTAGTAATTCATCCAAAAGGGTTTTCAGCTTTGAGAAATACACACTTACACTGTCTTGGTTGTGCATCAAGGTTGCAATACTTTGTTTGAGTTCAAAAATCTTTGGTGCATTCTACTGTGCCAACCTCTGCTCAAATTCCTTTCATAGCTGACGTTTCGTTTAAACATACACGGTGAATGTTAACTGCCATAGTGTTCTGCAACCAAGTAATGACTATATCACTACACCTCAACCAATGCTCCATAAGTGGAATGTCTGCATCACTTGGCTCTAGAATGCTTCCATCAACAAAACTGAGCTTGTTTTTAATCTTGAGTGTTCTTTGCAACGAAAATGCCCAGGAATGATAGTCATTTGAATCTAATACATGAGTAACGAGTATGGATCCAGAGCTATCATTAGCTCCAATATAGTATGGACTGTTTGACCGTGAGGGATAAATTGGGGTTGGATTTTGGTGTTGATTTATATCTGTGTTTGAAAATTCAATTGGATTTGGATTAATAGAATCATGTTGTGCCATAGCTGGCTTTCATACCATAAAAGAAAAGGAAAAGTAAAAAGGAAAATTATCAAGCAGGTAGAGACGTAGAGTGCAAGAATTTTGGAAGAATTATCTCATCATATTGATTCTTCCGCGTGTATCTCGTTCTACAGATTGATTACATTATATAGAAAGAATGAAAAGAATATCACCCTAAATGGAAACTATACAGCAACCTAGGAAGGGAATCTATACAAACTAACTCTGTTAAAAAAAAAAAAAATCCATATAACAGAAAAAGATCTATCCTTCTAGATTTATTCTTCCATCTGTGGTCCAGCTTGTCATCCACGTGTTCTTGAGAGTGCATGACTTGTTGACTACTAAGCTGCACTTGATTTTTATTTTCTAATACACATACTAGTGGGCAAGCGGGCTCAGGAGGTATGAGCTTGACTGCTCTACCATCCCATTATCCTCCTTTGTGCTTGGGCCTCTCTTGGGGAGGCCATTTTCTCTTCCACTCCTTGATCATGCTTTCCTCGACAATAAAAATATATAAGAATATTTTATGGCTTCCACTAACTATAACAACTCGTTAAGATTTACAAAAGACATGTGTGGTACAGGACTATCATTAGCTCGCATCGTAAGGTGTTGAATTAAGTACCACAAAAAGCGCAAACCTTGTGCTTGTGACAGTGTTACATAGGATTTTTCAATTATAAACAATGTCATCCACAAGAATTTTTTTTATTATTTTCGTGACATGGAGTATTCTTTTAGGAAAAAAA